CAGAAAATATATTTTAAACTACAAGTGCTTTAAAATAAACCGCCCAAATGATGTAGGACAGTGAGAGAGCCCGAAACCTTGAGGTCATAAGTGTGCGTGTGTGTGTTTGTGTGTGGCCTTCCACACCAGGACGTATCCATATATGAAAACGAATTATCGGATTGGAGTAGAACTTAGTACCCAGATTCGTCGACCGATCGACGAACGTGAGGCTCATTGGTTATCTAGCTGATTTTCAAAGTGAACTTGATTCAGGCGATCAGTGTGTTCGGATGGATTATATATAAGTGGTCATTTGTGAGATTGAATTGTGTATTAGGCGTTCCAGCCTGATTCACTCAGTAGCCGGTGTATTTTACTAGATACGGTATCAATTCGAAGCTTGAAAATGCCCAGTCATGAACTTACCACTGTGCGATCGTTCACTGCACATGAGTGAATGTCTCACCGGAATGCTTGTTCTCGTTCGATTCCCATGAGTGAGGATTGTGCAGACCTGGCAACAGTCAACTGATTACTCATTAGTTGTTCGATTCCCAACGGGTTGGACGCATGAGACAAGCTGGACGATGATGAGCAGATCGAAACTCACCTCATTTCAGCTAAAATAAAGCTCATCACAGCTAAGCGAAGCTAAGTTAAAAGAGGCTGAGCAAAGCTAAATCCTCTATTCTAACATATATTTAATCAAGGTAAGTTCACCAGCGAGTCAACTGAGTAGTTTGTTCGCTGATGGTCAACGTTTTTTGTTCAGATTCCATATAGTGAAACGGATAAAACCTGAACCAAGTCGGATTGACTGGCCGCGAATTGACCATGTTCGACTTGCCGCGTTTCAAACAAATGACTGGAATGTCCGCTACGCAGTTGCCAATCATAATAGAATGAAGAACACGTGTTGAAAAACCTGCCCACCAAACCTTCCTTACGCATTGTTTGAACAAGAGTTGAACGGCAGGTTTCAAACCGTCAGCTCAAATTACACACCGGGGAGAAGCTAAGATTTTTGAGATCACACCGCACACTTTGAGTAGATAGTTTCATAGCTGACGCTTGTGCACACTGCATCTAGGACTTAATTCAAATCATTTTAAGATGCTATTTTACGTATTTGCAAAATAGGGCCAGTGAAGTGATGACGAAGCGAACGATGGGATCAGCGGGTANGTTACATTCAGGAATCTGACCTTCCTGGTAAATATGAATCTAACACAGACACCGCTGGAGAAAAACTTCCGGACGCTTCGCACCATCTATCTGGTACATGTTTGGTACATGTGGCACTTTAGACCCAGTGATATGCTGTTCTGAAGTCACAAGCGACACCAAATAGCAAACGTGCACTGAATTCATCAAGCACACTTCTATCAGAGCTAATACACTGAAAATTTCGGTTTTCTGTACATATGGTTTTGCTCTAACACCTAGTGGAGCATGAAGAGCTGGTCAGTTCAGTCTCCAGTTGGTCGAAATCTCGCTTAATTCTCATGGGTCAAAGTTTCCGTTGCCCTTTTGTTGGTTAACTAGTACCTAGTCTAGACGGACTTGGTATGTCAGCAGGGACTATGCTGTCTGCACACTTCGCTTTTTCGATGAAACTTTGGCCACCCACAATCAATGAAGCGGTGAGCGACTTTTTTTCCCTTCGCTTGGCTTATCACCACTGTATGGGCTGAGGTTGGAGTCATCAAACAACGGGTTTTTCATCATTGAAAATTTGAATGTCTCATACATTAAGCCAATGAGGCGGTGCAACAGGTTGTGTAGGCCAAATGCAATGAGACATGCATCTGTAAGTCTAACAACACTATCAAGCATCAATTTTACAAAGTTTTTTGCGATTTTTTTTAGTTCCTATATCTTTGAATAGAAGCAGTCTTTCATAATCTTTCTAACATATTTTGAACTGTTTCGTTTTAGTGGGGTATCGGTTGGACAGCGGGTGATGATCGAAAACTCAATGATCCCTTCTTCTGGTCTGAATCAGAAGATGGTGGAGCAAACGCATACATGAGGAAAGAGCAGTTCAGTGTATTCAACTACATCCTGTGGACAGTTACGGCCCATCTGTCTCAGAATTGGTCTTTGTCTGGAATGATGATAGTATACTCAGTTGGTTTGGGGCTAGCAGCCCTACCAATGCTGTTCATAGTTTTTGGGGTTTGTCGTCTGATTCAGCAGTTTATTCAGCGTGATAGATCGAGTGAATAGTTCCGTTGTCCCTGTTCTGTATCATTTTCATCTGTCTCTCATTTCCTCATCAGGAAATACAGTTTACTGTTAAATGCCCGTAATATAGCTTAACCATCCTAATGGTGGAAAAGTTGGGACTTTGCACTGCAATATACGCCTGAGGCAGAACCACTAAATGCTAACAATCAGTCATAGAAGACTGCACCAACTCTTTAGGCTAAGGGGTTTTCGGTGCCTCTAACTTATGTGACCGTAGGGCCGATTTACTAGCAGGTTGCTCAGGTTCTCATGGGC